TTTTGCTAAAATTAAATAAAGCATGTATGTATCTATTTGGGAAAATAAAATACAAAACTGTACGTCTTTTTCTGGACGCGATCATTTTTGTAAACAACTGATGTCGCCGCTTGAGGAATCGTGCAGCTAAAATCAGCTGATTGTACGTGCTGACGTTTACTTAATAATAGCTCTTCAAAATTCCTATTCATTTTGTAATAATAAATAAATATTATGCATATGTAATAATATGTAGATTAATAGATTTTTTGGTTTCTATTTTTCAACATCTTTGCCAATGATGCACGTTACAAATGTGCTACGCCCACTTCACATTGGTGCGCCCTGTTTAATTTTCAAACCGTGGAGAACCCAGGCAGCTATGCTATGTCTTTGCTCTTTTTCGCAGATAAACTTGCTCACTACGACCTCTACAATGTCACTTGGTGTTTATGCAAGTTCTAGAACAGTTTATAAGAACAAAGCAGTTTCACTTTGAGAAAACGAGTCAGACATGAAAACAGGACAGTTAGTGCAGATAAAATCACCTCAAACATCTGACCAACTATGAACCTGTAAGAAGTGCTATAGAGGTGTAGTGAGAGCCCAGGATCCTTCTGCCTATGTCGGTTTGAGCTGATAGTTGCAGAGTTCTGAATATGTATTTGTTTCTATTTCAGTTGCTATAAGTTTGATTGTCCAGCACATTAAAGACATCTTGAATGGTGTTATGAAACCTTTCAACTGCAACGGCAATGGTAAAGGCAAAATAATACAGAAACACAGCTCAGACGTGTCGGCCAGTACCACATCCAGCACCGGTAGACCTCACTAGCGCTTACAATTCAGTCTTGGTTAGAAGCAGTGCTGGAACAGGATTGGGTGAAAATCACTGAAATGTGGTTTGTTGTTGCATATTCAACTAATGTGTTCATGAAAATTTATTGGCACAATATGTTGAAGTCTTTATTTTGTTCTCTTCCACATTTATGTTAATCATTGAACTACGGATGTTAAAATTAGGGGTAGACATTTTGTAGTTTCGCGTTCACAGACTTGTCTACAGAGAATAAAACATCATAGCAAATATAGAATCAACCATTTGCCAAATACAAAACTCATCAGAAAATATTCTTAATTCCTAATATTGTGCTGATATAAATTCCAAAGAAAAAAACCATGTATTTGGAAATATTTAAGTCATTTAATCTGTGTCAGATCCATTGTACTTTTGTATTGTATAATACGCACTACACTGACTTTTGTCAAACTGAAAAAAATTTTGTTTTAATTCTGTGACTAGAAAAGGGTTATCATGCCCTGAAACCAACATGTTTTGTGGACATCATTTCCACAAATTAAAGTATCTATATTTTTCCAGACTTTCTGCCAAAATTATTATCCAAATTCACATTTTAATTTTTTCTAGAATTGTAAAATAACTGGGGGGTTTCAATATTTTTGTTGGAAAACCTATCTTGTGATTATTAAAGTTATGTGCCCAGTGTATTTATACTAACCCACAATACTGACCCTCCGAGCTGATTGTACATTTTGGCAATGGATCCTCCGATGGCGATCTTATTTCTAGTTCACTGATGTGTTCAGTGTTGATTGATGTTGGTACACGCTTGCCACATTTTTAATACAACAAAACTGAACAAAATATTTATATACCGGTAATAAGTTCTGCCAATGTGATTTAAATTGGTAGGTAGTCAGTGGCTCTGGTTATATGGGTACACATCACCTTAATATTGACCAACTATGTATGCAAGCAGAGGTACATTACTTGGGGTTTGCAACGCGCATAGTACTGTATGGTGACATCATGCCAAGATCCCATCCAAGTCTCATGTCGTAGATAGCAAGACTAATGGCATAGGCGGTTTGTAATAAAACAATAGCACGTGTATTACCACATTCATAGCAAAAAAATGTAATACTGTGGAATACTTTATTTTCGATAGAATTAATTTTCGCTGAAAAGGCTTTTTGGGCGTTTTGCTTGGAATTTATTTTCACTGATTTTTCATGAGTTTAATGTGAAATATAGGGAAAAAAGTATATTCGCTGGATTTTATTTTCACGGAATCATCCCTTCAGCGAAAATAAAAAAAACTGTATGTATGATTTGTTAATTTCGTGGTGATATTTTCAATTATCTAATTATGACAATTATTTTTGTCATTGTCGGTGAAAAGTGATATTTTTGACTCCTTGACCTTTTGGCTAATATTAAACTTCCAATGCAGGTGAATGATGACAACTTTTCGTACTTTCGCACATCACTGCCGTTAGTCGTAAAGTATACGATGTAATTTTGGGCATTTTTTTTATTTGAATTACTCGAAACCTGCACATTTCCCCCCCTCAGTTGGCTGTTTTGTATACTGAACTAAAGCAATTGAGTCGTATACTTACAGGAGACAAACTTCGATAAGAGGCATTATAATCTGTTAAAATTTAACTGCCAATAGACAAGTTTTTTGATGGATTAGTTTCACTGAAGACAATATTTTGTAAGTTTTTTATTAGTGGATTTGTATCACATGGTATGTTATTGCAATTTTCACAGTTTTGTTTCATTTAACGGGATATATTATGTGATACTGTATGTATAACCCACTCCCAGCAAACACTCAGTCTGTCATTGATTTTTTGATTGACCCGAGCATAGGTTCGTTCTTGCGGACAGAGGCAACATGCACATTTTTATATCCAATGTGCGGTACTCCATTTTCTGAGAGATTCTAATTGGTTGAATAATATCACATGACTCCACTTTCAAGAAGTCAAAATGCAGCAATACATTTTTTTTTTTTTTCAGATTTGTTTTACTCATAAATATTTATTCTGAGATGTTTCTGTATATTATATATTGGTTGTATATTCATTGTACGAGAGGTGAGATTTCATGATTTTCGGAGATGCATCAAGGGTAGATAAACTAAAGGGTATGCAACGCTTTTCACGTTTTGTTAAGGGTTAGCATAAACTGATGGTTTTTTACAAAGGTATAAGGGAAACTGAAAATTCCCCAGAAATTCAGCAAACTTGCGTCGTTCAATAGCATCGCCGAATGCCAAGTACAGTAGATGTTCATCGGTAAATATTGGAAGGTTGGATTTTGGTAACTGAAATAAGCAAGGCTTTAAATTCATAAGAATACTAGAAATTACCTAAGACAAATTCTAATCTTTAACAGGCTCCCTTCTGTTAGTACTTTGAAAGTTTTAATTATCTGAATTGAATTTTCTTGCAAATCTGTGAATTTAAGTGTGAATACGCTCAAAATAGTGAAATTAAAATCCCTTGAAAATGTATACTCTTATAGTATCTTCATCTTTTGTTGCCATGGTTACATAGCTTTTAGTTATCTACCTTTGATCTTGTATACTCTGTAAGATTTGATTTGATTATCTAGCAGTTATTTTCCCCTTTTTTCATAGAAAATTTATCTTAGTGCAATAAATACATCTCTGGACCAGAAAAATCTAGTTTTCTTTCATGTAAAGGTTCAATGTAGCTACTTCATAGCAACTATGTTGGAGTGAAAACTGGAGGGCATCATACAATCCACTAATGGAATGTCTAATTACACAGTTTACCAACAATAGTGTCTCATATTATTTCACTGTAAAAGTGTTTTCTAAGTACAATAAAAAAATAATATTAAACTCTTAGTTTGTTTTTTTAAAGTTTTGTTCATGTGCAACTGGTTCAGGGTATTCTACAATCAAGCCACGACGCCTCTATCGTCTGGCAAATTACCGTATTGCATGCTGTAAAAAGCTGAAATGAATGGTGGACGGGGCCCCTCTGTGTTTACTTGCTTTAAAGGGCGGTGGTCGTCGCGAAGCGCATGTTCAAATTTCATGTGAATAATGCATTTTACATGCAATGTGTATGTCAGCGAGTCCCATATCGAACAGGACGCGACGCAGTGACCACCACCCATTAATTAGCAGTACTATTGTTCGGACACCAGACTACCATTCCTCTGTGGTCCGAATATCATGTTCAGATTTAACTTTTAGCCATGTGAATTTATTTGCAGTCGGGAATAATGCGGCAGACACACTTCCACAGATAAATCACAGCAGCATTTGTTGGCAGGTTAAAATAAAAAAAGTAGGTCAACAAAGGAGCGACTTTATATTTGGTCTAACTGTTAAGTGTTAGGGTTGGGTACTTGTAAGTAGCTTTGCTTTGACTCTGCTTTCATTGTTATTATCGGTTCAATTAGCGTGTTGTGTTGTGAGAATATCTACCTTTCGACCGTGGTTCAGGAAATTCAGATTAGCCAATCTTGGCCTGACCCGACATGTTTGTAAACAGCACAACTATCATTACCTGGTATCCATGGCAACAGCAATACTTATAGTATCGAAGATGTTCCATATACCCCTGTACCAGCATCCTGTAAATGGTATATTCGCCGAATTTTATTTTCACTGAATCATTCCTTCAGCGAAAATGGCAATAACTAATTCTAAGTGAAGATAAAGTATTTTACAGTATTGATGTCTGGATGTGTATAGATATTGTACTTCACATTGATGTAGATGTTCTGACTGTATTCTGCTGCTGTATTTCATAACCTATTTATATTTACACCTTAAATTGTTCTGCCTCAATATAGATGACTAATTTTTATGTATTTTTTTTTTACAATTACTTCCCATTTGAACACAGTTTGAAAATGAAGTGTTTCTATCCATGCACATGTTTGGACCGATCAACTTCAAACTACACATGTGCATTATGACATTCATGATCTGATTCAAGATGGCCAAATGGCAGCCATTTTAAGGCTAAAAATGCATAAATCGCTTATTTTCACCATTCTGGAACCGGATCTCAGTCGTGTGTCAACAGTTTTATTTTTAAGTTTGTACCTACATTGTACACAACAGGACTTTGATTTACGTCATTCTTTGGATCAGGTTAAAAATCACCAATTGGTGGAGATTAAAATATAAAGTTCTCCATCATTTCTGACATTCCAAGTTTAAGCTTCACACACACTTCAGACATATCGGCCACGTGCATGTTTGTCATGATTTGATTCAAGATCGCCAATTAACGACTATCTTGAAGGCTAAAACATCAAAATCATACATTTTCATCAGACATCGATCGTGTTGTGCATATACATGAGTATTTGTGTCATGATTTTTCAGTTTGTATCCTTGTCTTTACCTCCAGTGTGACAGAATAAATAATAAAGACATGAATATCATGTGAAAAAGTTTTGTGTGAATTTTATTTGTCAACAGTTAGGGCTGTCAAAGAGTTACGGCCTCCTGAGACCAAGTTTGTGATGTAAGGTACTGAACATACAGCAATGCACCATGGGAGAGCATTCCCTGTTGAATATTTGTTTAACTTTGGTTTGGTATTCTAAAATGAGCTCACTGACATAGGTTGAAAAAAATACAAGTTTTCAAAAACATTGTCTATTTCACTGATTTACAGAATGAGATTTTTTACAACAAATGGGACTACTAATACAAACTGTAATATGCTGTCTCAAGCTTATATTAAGACAATGCAGAATTATTTTCTTTTGGCATATCACAGCTCAGATAGTAGACAAATGGACTGTACGCATATCCAAATAGCACTTTATCCACTTATCGGGGAATATTGCGCCACCTACGGCCAGAATTGTTTTTCTTCTAACGTTATATCGCAGAGGTCACCACCAGATGGCGCCAGCTGGGTCATGGATCAACTAAGGGTTGACGTAAGAGCATACCAGACGCCGTTTTCTTGTGTGGTTCATTTATTTTATTAGAGGACATATACCATCTTATATGTAAAGTAACAACCTGTCACCCAATGCACTGACGCAACGTGGATACTGGTAGGTCGAATGTAGCCC